CCCCAAAACCCCAAAACCCCAAAACCCCGAAAAATTAAATCATAATAGAATTTATTAGATAAATGGAGTCCAGTTCTCAAGAGATTGAAGAAAGTATACTGAAAGAGACAACTAAGATACACAAAAAGATATCATCAGAAATCTTTAGAGATTTTGAAACAAGAGTAAATCTATCAATATCAAGATTTGGATGGCTATTAAATAAATCAACAAAATATCATTCAAACTGCCTTCTAAATAAATTATCTTCGATTCCCTTGTCACCCCTGAGCTGCTTGGTCCTTTGGCAAAAAGATAATCAACAAGGATTCAATAAATTTCTAGATAGGTCCTCAGTGAATTGGATTAGTGAGTCTGTAGTCAGGCTAGATGTGAAGAAGAAGAAATATGGGGTTTATGAAAGGAAGATTTTGAGAGTTCTTCCTAGTGTGATGGAAAGGCTTGTGCTTGGTAATTGAATTGTCAATAAGAACCAATTCAGAAAAATCATTCAAGCTGGAAGGCACATTCCCCATATATCTTTTAAAAATTGTGATCTTTCTATTGACAATCTCAAGTTCAGCAATTCAATACAATACTCTATTAAATATATCGGCATCAAGATGAAGAAAAACAATGAATTTCAGTCTCCCACAGAAATATTGAGGATCAGCCAAACCCTGTTCTTAGCAGCTTCATCTACAGACCTGAAGTTATCTATGAAAGGGTTTTATACAGACATCTCTGAAGCTATTGACCAAATCAGAGAAAATGCTATTGAATTTGGATTTCACAAGTTATCCATCCCAAATTATCCTAAGATTTGCTAATAACAATCATCTTTTTCGATCTTTAAGTAAAGGCACTAATTTCTAATAAGAAATTTGGTTTTTAAAGCTTATCCCAATTGTCTTTACAGAGAGTATTGTGTGTTTCAAAGAAAAATGCTGTTATTGTATCTAAATCCGAAGAGAAATTATATATCAAGCTTAATTCTAAGTCTGTATTCAGTATTTGCATGACTGTTCCAAACTTTATTTAAGACAAAAAGTAGTACTAAATAAATCTTGCTTTAAAAATTATTTATTCACAAGTCCCAGATCATCTCAGGGTATTTCATAGTTTCTTTAGGTTAATTTTATAATAATTTAGTAAAGAAGATGAAACCTTTGATGGAGAAAAATGATTTTTTTAATCTTTTTAATATTTTTAATATTTTGATGAGTATTTATTCATAAGATCTATAAGCATATTCCTCACTAAAGCAATTAAACAATTTATTATGGTTTTAACCAATGTGCAAAAAGATAAGTTAAAAATATAACATAAAGAAAATTTTTAATTTATTCAAAGAATTACTTAATTTTTTACACTCTTCGATTATACAACCAAAACAAAAACTTAAGAATAATTCAAAGTCGGCAACGACATCAAAAAAATTATTTTTTTGGTAAATTTCTGTATTGAAGGCGGTTTATTTATAAAACCATCTACTATATAATTGACCATACTATATCCAACTTTAGTCTTCATTTTCAGCTCAAAAGTCATAAAAAAATACTCAACAATCTCCAACCTTCCAGGGGTTTTGGGGTTTTGGGGTTTTGGGG